CATCACTCTTACAGTCCGACGTTGTAGTCTGAAAATCCTTGTTGTTAAACCAGTGTGTCCCCATAAGATAATGCAATACTCTATGTCACTCTGTATTAAGGCGAAATAAACAGTTAAAGTTGTTTTTTGTAAAATACAATTCGTCAGATTTCGGAGTAAGTATACAGGGCTGCGCCAGAACTCGCGCCCCAGAGAAAAATGCCATATAAGGTAAGATACCAGGGACATGGAATAAATGTTAAAAAAAATATCTATAAAAATTTCGAAGTTATGAGGGTTTAAAGTTTGCACTTTGACTATTTATTTCTGTTGGGAAAATAATTTTACAAGTTTTTTTGCTATAGGCTATTAAAAGAGTAAACAAGGAGGCTGTATCCTAAATTGTAACTCTGTTCAATGTTATTTATGTGGCTTTTATTGGCAAAATTTTTATCCCTTAACTAAATAATTGTAAAAACAACATATACAAGATCATCAGTACCATTAAATAGATATAAAAAAATGTCAAATGTCAAAAAATAAATGTCAAAATTTTTTGACAGATAGAATTTTTTAAACATTTTTTTCATATTCCTGGTATCTTACCTTACTTGAAAATTTTCTCTGGGGCGCGAGTTCTGGCGTACCTATATGTTTTTGGACAGTTTGCATCAATATATTGCCAGGTTAATATTAGATCTACAGTGACTCCTAAGAATTTTGTATGTATGTGCAACATCAGATGAAAAGCAGTCTAAATGTTTTGTGCTGAAAGTCGTATTAATAGTTTTGTCGGCATTCAAGTGAAGTTTGTTAGATAAAAGCCATTTTTGTACTTGTTTATATTCTATTGACATATCAATGAACTTCCTGCCTTACCAAGAGTAGTGTCGTCGGCATATTGTACTGTATTAATTTGTGGCACACAGTCTGGCAAATCGTTTTACTGCCTATGGAATAGTTTTGTGAACGGGCTTTTTCCCATTTTATATCAGAAACACATGCGGACAAAGTCGCAGGCAAATGCTAGTTCAGCATATAAGGATGACCTGGAAGACTTGATAAACCCACGTGACACCCTCTAATAAACTGTTGGACCCAATACAACCAATTTACTGTAAGTTTTATTTAAATCATCGATATTAAATCATCTATCTATTAATATTGTACTGAACAAGACTGTAATTCGGTTTTCAATGTTGAAGACGAATATGCAGCATATGAGGACGACTTGGAAGACTTTATAAACTTTCTAATGAAGTGTTGCACCCAATAAATTCAATTTACTGTCAGTCTTTTTAAATCACAAGATTAATTCTGTTTTAAATGCGGATAAAGCACATTTTTTTAAATAATGTTTTTTGTCAGCCCTATAACTCGCTTACGATTAGTCCTACAACAAAATTTTGATAAGCAGTCAAAAACCGTTAGGAGTAATAGTTTCCGAGATATAAGCGAAAAACCAAAAAAGACCTCCCCCTCCTCGAGCTCGCCCCCCACCTTCGGGGACTTTTGATATATGTTTACCCAAGAATAAAGAAAGCGAAAAAAAATTCCAACTCTCTAGGATTTTTTCCACCGATCGCCCTATTTTTGTCTAATTTGTCTGAGCTATACTTTCTATGGTTACTGTCTATTTTCATAAGAAAAAGCATCGCCATCTCGATAGAAATAATACTTTTCTCAGTTTTCTCGCTTGGACATTTTTTGAGTTGGCGCTGTTGGGTTTCTCCCGGGCGTATCTGCTGGTTTTGTTGTATCTGTCCTTCCCAGCTTTTATTAATTGCGTTATTTATCGTTAGTAATTAAAAATCATTCAGTTTTTTCTTAGTAATCCTCGTAACTAAGAAAAAACTAGGAATCACTGCTCCAATGCATTTTCTACGAAATGAGCGGGATATTGGTACATTTCATTAAGGAAGCGGTGAGAAAAAGTGAGTAAATTGAAAATTATTTGACATTTCAAGAGAACTTTTATTAGACCCGGCAAAAGAAGTAGAAACCATTTGGCAGACAATTATGCAAGACATAATTCTCTGACAAATAATTTCCACAACTTTTACACTTCACTGACCGGGCGATTTAGACCTGCAGTCAGGCAAGATTCACCGTTACGGATATTACCATCAAGTTATGACGTTGATTAATTGAATTAATGTTGGAAAAACCCCTTAAATTTCCCAATTTAGCGTCACTACAGATCTTCCGCCTTGCAACTTAATGAATTAATGATTAATTATAGCTACAGTGCGATCAAAAAGTCTTTCTGATCTAAGTAAATTGAATTACTGGATGAAACGTCTAGAAACATTCTAAAATAACATGTAGTTGGTGTTTGTTTATTCATACAAATCGTTCACCACGATTTGCTGTTAAGTTTACATAAAAATTTTCTTGAAAGTGTATCAGGGAGATCACTCGTATAAACATTAAAAAGCAATGGAGATAATACTGCACCCTGAGGAAGACCATTATTAAGAGTTTTTACTTTGCTTGATTTTTCGCCGATAAAAACTCTAAATTTTCTATTTGCTCTCGATAAGACTGACAATCCGTTTGCAAGGTACGATTTTATAAAGTTTGTGTATTAAACCATCCTTCCATACTGTATCATATGCGGCAGTGAGATCCAAAAGAACAACACCAGTTTTTAAACGTTTTTCGAAACCAGATTCAATGTGGGTCGTTAAAGCTAAGACTTGATCGCAGCAACTTCTTTGTGGTCGAAATCCAGCTTGTTCGGGGGGAAGAACATCCTCAACAATAGGAGAAATGCGCTGATAAATCATCCTCTCCAGAATCTTGTAACAAACACTCAACAAAGAAATGGGCCGGTAACTGGACGCTTCCTGTGGAGATTTTCCCTTTTTCAAAATTGCGGTCACCTTGGTCTTTTTAAACTCCGAAGGTAGACGGGCTGAAATTAAAATATCATTAAAAAAAGAAGTAAGCCATTTCAGTGCAAAACTTCCGAGATTTTTGATGAATTCTGGGTAGATTCCATCAAAACCAGCTGACTTTTTACACTTCGTTAATGATATGGCTGCTTCTAATTCATCTACATTGAAACATCTCGATAGTTCTTCTGAAATGTTCGCCTTTCTTTTTTGTTTTTGAACCCGACGTTTCATCTCCTTTTTTTCTTTTCTTAATAACTTAACAGATTTTGAAATGTTTACCAAACGACTAGCTACAGTGTTCGGGTTGATCGCACAATCTGACTTAGGCAGATCAAAGTTCGAAGATCCAAGTTTTTGTAAAAGCTTCCAAGAACTGCGACTACTATGTGTAAAATTTAAAAATTCCATTAAGCTGTTCCATTTTAAGTAAGTTGACACTCTTCGACAATATGTTGTACAATTTCTTCCACTTGACCACATTGACAATATATTGAGATCGAATATTATGATTTGCTATTCTGAAGATACAATTGATTTTTTTGGTTTGTCGGGAGAACAATTGTTGCGAATAATTGAGGACGTAAAATGCATGACAATGGCCGATTAATGAGGCAATGAATTTTTTGCTAGAATAATGAAGGAAAATAAATAAAAATAAATAAAGTTTATCATAATTAAGCAAAACTATAATGCAATAAATAACCATGAGTATTAAACAAGGAAAATAAATAGATTATTAAGTTAAAAATTACTTAATTTGTTACTTCGTATTTTGAAAAGTTATATCAATACAAAATTTATAAAATTAGTTACCTACTACAAGGAAAACAACGACAGTTTATCAAATTATTTAAACGGTTTTTTAGTTTAATTAACTTTTAAATTAAAAAAAAAATAGGACTAGTAGTGAAAAACTATTAACAAATTAAACAACAATAAAACACCATTGTGTATAATTCGTACCATATCTAAAAGCACTTTCTTCATAAATGGCCTCATCAAAGCCAAAGTTTTGTCCAGAAATGGCACAAGCTCAAGCTTTTTTTACGAAGAAAACTTGACATTTTTAATTCGAGTTTTGTTTCCTGGCAATTTAGCGAAAAAAACTGCTTCTGAAAAAATTATTCGTTCTACGGACTCGCATTTTTTTTCGTTAAATTGCCAGGAAACAAAATTCTCATTAAAATGTCAAGTTTACTTCGAAATTACTCGTGTAATTACTATTATAATTATAATTATAAGTGAAAACAATTTTAAGATCAAGATAGATTAAATATCTAAGATAAATATAAAACATTTTTTAGAATATAAAACAG